AAAATCTGCTTTGTCTGCCTGTCTGTAATTAAATATGAGGGGTTCCCAAACTTTTTCATGYCACGGCCCCCCAAACAGCATTAGCTCTGGCCAGGGACCTTCTAGCAAACACGCAAACAAAGCTACAAAATATACAAAGTAACAAATTTTAGAATATATTTTCTCACTTTTATTCATTATTCAAAAATTATTAGATGTCTTTAGAATAAGAATTGTGCTAAATAAATATAAGGTTAGGGCTAGAAAGACTTTTAAATTAAAAAAATTACTCTCTCATGTATTTTTATAAAGCAGTTATTTGAAAAATACAACTTTTTAAGATTTACCAGACACATTGTGTGTGTGTGTTATCATAAAGTATCAGTATCGGATCAGTATCACCGATACCAGCTAAATTTTACTTGGTATCAGTATCGAAAAGAAAACTGGCAGTATCGAACATCACTAGTAGTTTTCCTGCTCTCACAGAGGAGGGGGTGGGGGGTCTCGGACCAGCTCTGCTCCGCCTGCTGCTCTCTCTCCTCCTTCACCTCCTCCCTGCAGATGGAAAGCAGAGCTCACTGTCAGAAGCAGCATTTACCTTCCTCCAGCTGCACACAACACGCCGGGATCTAACTGAAGGATTGTTTGGTGCATTTATTGTCATCAGCAGGCTCCATGGTGACGATGAGGATGAGGAGGAGGGAGACGACCAGCAAACACTTGTTGTGCTTTCTGCTGCTCCTCTTCCAGCTCTGTTGGGCTGAAGACACAAAGAAAGATGAGGGGAAGACTGAGAATATCACATGTAAGGACCTGTCTGTCTGTCTGTCTGTCTGTCTGTCTGTCTGTCTGTCTGTCTGTCTGTCTGTCTGTCTGTCTGTCTGTCTGTCTGTCTGTCTGTCTGTCTGTAGTATTTGAGGATAAAATCTTGTAAAATAGTATTTTTAACACATAATCATGAGCTTTATAGCGACAAGGTTTATTTCATGTCACCTGATACATTCTGTATTCAAAACAATGAAATACCTTCCTGWTTGTATCTGAAGTCAGTCAAATCTGATCAACATTTTGTGTACAAAGACAGGATTTTCATGTTAAAATAATCTATTATAAATGTAACAAGCAAAGCACCAGGTTGGATGTTTTTAATTAGAAATGAACTAAAGGACTRAAGGATGTTTGCCATAAATATATTACTCCATTTCTTTTCTCTTTGTTTATCCAGAGTAGATAAAAACATGTTGATTCCATCACTGTTTTAATTGCAGTCAGTCACAAAATATGTGATATRAGACTGTATGTAAAATTCAACTAACCAGTCGCAAATTTTCCTTCAGTGAAGTGTGTTCACGACAAAAATTACATTTTTTCAAAACATCTGAATTGAGCGTGAAGACCTGCAGTGTGAATATAACCTTAGATTGATTATTTTGTGGCCTGAGATGATGTTTTCTCTAATCCAGTACTCTATAAATAAACTGAACTGCATGTTCAGAAAGTGTAAAATCTCATTTAATTCCTACGCAGATGACACTTACAATTACAGTGGGTACGGAAAATATTCAGACCCCTTTAAATTCTTCACTCTTTGTTTCACTGCAGCCATTTGCTAAAATCAAAAATGTTCATTTTATTTCTCATTAATGTGCACTCAGCACCCAATCTTGGCAGAAAAAGAAATGTAGAGATATTCGCAAATGTATTAAAAAATAAAAACTAAAATATCACGTGGTCATAAGTATTCAGGCCCTTTGCTGTGACACTCATTCATCTCACATACTGTCCATTTTCTTCTGATCCTCCTTGAGATGGCTCTACTCCTTCATTGCAGTCCAGCTTTTATAGTTTAATAAAACACAGCTGGACTGCAATGAAGGAGTAGA